GGCAGCCGGATCCTCCTGCTCGAGCTGGGGCTAAAACAGAGCATTTAAATGCAGATCAACACAAAGGTTGACCCACTGGAGAAGCTCTGATCCTTCTGAGGATGGCAGGGCAAGAATGCTGTCTCCTAAAAGCGTCCCTCTGGGGCCGGGCTGCAGGCTACAGGCAATTTTGGAGTTCAGAGTCTTCATGAAGGGTTTTGCACAAAGAGAGCTTTCCCACACAGCCACCTCTGTATTTGTGATGCGAAGCCTTTTGATTCTGCGTCTTCTGTGCCACAGCACCAGGTTGCCAGGGACGTGGTGCCCTTAAAGCGGCACCCGCACGGGCCCCCCTCAGCCCTGCCGGGCCGCACGCAGCTCTCCCTGGGGACTCCTGGGGTTTGCATCACACGGATGGCGTTTCCTGAGCATCTGCTGCCAGCCAGCATCCTGGGATGCTGCAGCAAGCAGCCATGGCTCCGCCCCACTAATCACAGACTCACACGTGGACGTCACGGGGGTGAGATGCTGGGAAGAAATTGCACTGAGAGCTTGGATGAGTAGCCTGTCACGTCCCCAGTGGGTGTGGGGGATGATGTCGGGGAGTCAGTGTGCCAGCTGAGCTCTGAGCAGCCGTTGGAGTGAACTAGCGGGGGGGGGGGAACACGCGTGCTCCCAGACCTGCCCCCCAAAAGGAGCATGGGGCACTCAGGGGGCGGGGCTGAGGCCAAGGGAGGGTTTGCTGTGGGGTGAACAGGAAAGGCAGGCAGGGCCTGGGACGGTGAATCTCATGGGTCAACTTGACTGGGCTGTGGTGCCCACGTGTTGCCCAGAAGGTATTTTGTGGATGCAGTTAAGTAAAGGAGATTACTCAGAATAATGAGGATGTAGACCTCATATAATCAGTAGAAGGTCTTAAAAACAAAAAAACTAGAGTTTTCTGTAGAAGGGGGGAATTCTGCCTTAAGATCGTAACAAAAGTCCTACTTGAGTTTCCAACCTGCTGTCCCTTCCTTAAAGTAAATTCTCTCTTGGGGCGCCTGGTGGCTCAGTCGGTTGGGTGGCCAACTCTCGGTTTTGGCTCAGGTCATGATCTCAGGGTCCTGGGATTGAGCCCCATGTCAGTCTCCACATTCAGTGGGGAGTCTGCTTGAGAATTCTCTCCCTCTGCCCCTCTCCACATGCATGTGGGCACTCTCTCTCTCTCTCTTTCTTTCTTTCTCTCTCTCAAGTCTTTTTAAAAAATTTTTAAAAACAAATTCTCTCTTCCTCTGTATATATATTTATATGTGTGTGTGTGTGTGTGTGTGTGTCTCTCTCTCTCCAATTGGTCTGTTTCTCTAGAGAACCCTGACTAATCTAGGATGGGCCACAGAGCTTGGAGGGATTTGGGCAGGATTCAGGTAGTCCTTCTCTAGCAAGCAGTGGAAGCCAAGGAAGGATTTTAAGCAGGGAGCAAGGCTGATCCAGTCAGCATCGGCAGAGCACCGATCAAAGCCAGGTTGGAACCCAGGGAACTGGCACGGCAGGCCCAGAGGTTCCAGAAGCATCTGTGTCACGTTGCCCATCCTCCAGCCAACCCCCACCTCGCCGGAAGCTCCCTGTGTCAGATGAGCATGCTGTCGGCCTCCCTGAATTCCAGTGGTCATTTTATGTGTTCATTCAACTGTTCAGCAAATCTATATCATCTATAATCATCTATAGAGCATGGCCTGCCTTACGGATGGACGTGGGCAAGGCACAGGGCATTCTTTGAAACCACTGTAGGTTTTGTTTGTTTAATCCAGGGCCCTATGAACAGCCCTTCTCTTCATTTGTTCATTCATTCATTCAGCAAATATTTGAGGTCCTACTGTGCGCTAAGCCCTACACTGTGCTCTGGGGATGCAACAGGAAACAGAAGTGGCCCCAGATCCCTGCTGCATGCAGCTTCTGTTCTAGGGGAGGTGAGAGAGTAAGTTCTGTGGTAGAGTGAATCCTCTCAGGACAGAGATGGCCAAAGGCGAAAACAAGGAGCTCCAGGTGGAGAGCTGAAATAGCATGGTTTGACTTCTTGGGCCGTGCAGCCCAGCAGACCTGATTCCTCCCTCTCTGAGCCTCAGTGTTCTTGTCAGCAAAATGGACCAAACAGCCAGCAAGATCCTCTTGAGAGGATTGGATAACAGACCAGAGTCTCTGGATCCCATAGCACTAGACTATGCACCTGTTGTTTCTGTGTTGTTATTTTCCTTGTCACTATGTCTCCTTGTCTGTGAGGTTAAGTAACTTGCTTCAGATGTGCTTGTCATGCGCGCTCCTGTAAACACCCCAGCAGGGAGACTTAGGGTTGTGGTATCTTATTCTGGGTTTCATCTTAGATGTCTCAAGTTTGCTAAGTAGTTGTAGCAAACAAACGAGAGTGAGAGAATGAGCAGCATGGGAGAGGGTGAGCCGTCTCTGCCAGCCCGAGGCTAGACCCCTTCAAGTGGCTCCCTCATGGCTAATTAGCCTCCCTCCAGCAGAGACGCTCCCTGGCACAGTGCCTCCGCACCAGCCCTGCTCATTCATCCAGCTCCCTCCCTCCCTCCATGCCACACTGTCCACAAAACACTCCCTGAGGGCAGGTGGCCCAGCATGACCCCAGAATCCCACCACACCCACAGAACCTCCCTGCCCAGTGGAGAAGGCTGGAAGCTCTTCACACGCCTGCTCCTTGCCCCCACTGTTGAGCCACAGGGCCAGTGTCCACACAGAATGTGAATGCCCGGCCACCCGTCCTTCAGGGCAGAGCAGAAGGGTGAACGCAGGGTAAGCTCTCCTGTGACACCAGCCCCCCCTGCACCCGTCTGCGGTCACTCACTGCACTTGGAATAAACCCACCTCCGAGGCTTCAGGGTGATCTGCCCATCTCCCTTAGCCCACCAGACCGGCCTCCCCGGCCTTCTTTCTCTGCCTCAACAACACCCAAGCTCAGGGCCCTCCACAGGCCTCACTCTTGCCCGACTGTCCCTCCTCCCCTGCTCTTGCCATCCCAAGCATCCCCGCCTCAGCTGCGACTCCATCCCAGAACTTTGCTCCTTTCCTTCAAAGCCCGCATCACAGTTTGTAATTTATGTCGCTTTCTGTGTATGTCCTCTCTCTCTCCCCCGCCACTTTCCCTCTTCCCCTCTCTCTCCCACTCCCTCCCCCTTCCTCTCCACATTAGATTTTTAAATGCCAGAAAGTAGGCATCACGCCTGTCTTCACCAGGATATACAGTACCTGGCACACTGCAGTTGCCCAATAAACATTTCTGCTTGAACAAATGAATGCATCAGCGAACACATTTCTCTTAGCTCCTCTGCCTGAGGGCATGATCTAAGTGTATGTGGCTGAATTTTAGGCCAGATGATCAAGCTCCCTGAAGGCAGAAATGGACTCTGGTTCATCTTTGTATCTACCCCTCTCGTCTAGCATAGCTCTTGGCACATAATAGGTATGCCACAAAGGATTAAGGACCAAAGGGACAACAATCCAACATGCCATGGCAACCTCAGACCATATGGGGTCCTGCCCAGTGCTCTGGGCCATGAGGATTCCCAGAGGCCAGCCCTGGAAATAAAGTCACTTGGCGCTAATTTAAGGAAACACCCATTCCAACTTGTCCTTAAAGCTAAGCCTGGTTTGGTCATTGACAAACTCACTCCTATCCTGTTTTAACCCATGTCATCCCATTCAGCCATTCGGTGGTGGGTCTGCTGGATGCCAGGCGGTGTACCAGTACCTTGTGACTCCAAACGCAGCCTGCAGACCAGCACTTCCCACCCTCACCCAGCAGCCTGTTAGAAATGCAGACTCTCCAACCCGCCACAGACCTACCAGATTAGAATTTGCCTTTTAGCAAGATCCCAGGTGATGTGTACCTATGTTAAAGTTTGAGAAGCACTGGGCTACAGATAAAGATGGAGGGTCTGCCCTCTTGGAGCTTAAGGCAGACTCTGCACCTGTGGGCATCGGCACCATTCCAAGAGGAAGCTCTGGGGGCCTTATGTCAAGGGAGATTCGCCCAGGAGACCAGAGCAGGCATTGTAAGCCATCTTCAAGGTTTTGTCATTTTGTCCCGAGAGCAACAGGAAGCCCAGGGGGAAGGAGTTTACAGCAAGGATGGCAGTGAATGAATTGGCCCATGTCACCTCTTGAGGGTAGTCGTCACTTTTGTAATTCATGATCAAAACAAGACTTCCTTCTCTTGTCCTTAAGCACACTCGAGTGTTGGAGGAGGTGGTCTCATCCCAGGTGAGCAGGTCAGTGCAGGACCCTGAAGTCCAGTCAGGTCTAGGCTCAAGCTTTGCCTGTCCAGCAGGAGTCTCCCTCTGTTGGTACGTCCCCCCGCCCGCAGGCAGTCATCCTGCTGGGAACCACAGCACAGTGCTCCAGGAACATGCCCTTTTTCCTCAGCTTCCGGTGCACATCGGACATATGAAGCCTGAATTAGGGTTCTGAACAGGAATCGTGGCTCAGCTCTCCCATGTTCTCCAGTAGCTAAGTAGAGGCCATAGGAACTGTGGTAAGACTGTAGTCAGAGAGACCTGGGTTCGAATCCTAGCTCAGCCACTCACTCGCTGTGTGACCTTGGGCAAGTGTTTGAACATCTCTGAGATTGTTGCCTCAGGTGTGAATCCTTGCCATGTGAGAGTATTGTGAGGGCTGGGCACAGAGTGAGTGCTTTATGTATTCAAGAAATGTTTACTGGACACCTACTGTGTGACAGCTGTGTACATACTCTGGGGGGGTCCAACACTGGACGGTTTCAGACAACAGCCCTGCCATCATGGAGGATAGTGGTCCAGTGGGGGAAAGTGTCATTTGTTGAATAATCACACAAATCAATATTAAATGACAAATGTAGTATGTGCTTTGAGGTGGGGGCAGGGGAGAAAAGGAGCTTTGAGAGAGCAAAACAGAGGCCCGACCTAACCCAGAAAGTCAGAGGAGGGGTCTCTGAGGAATGACCGTGTATGCAGTGTCTCTTGACCAGGCGTCACTCTGCACCTCTCTTTCAGGTACCTGGAAGGAAACCACTTAACAGCCGTGCCCAGGGAGCTGTCCGCCCTCCGACACCTGACACTTATGTAAGGAGCCGGGCATGGGGGCGGGGGGGCATGTAATGTTCTCTCCTGGGGGAGCTCAGGAAACTATGTGGAGGGTAAGAGAGGATGGTCTGTGGGCTTCACGGCATTCCTACGCTTTCTCCCGGGGTGGAGCAGAGAGGCAGCTGGGAGGCATGAGCCATTCTGATGTGGCAGGCCTTACCAGTGAGAACTACACAGAGAAATACCCAGAGCCTGGCATCACTGACCATCCACATCACCTTCCTCCTTGGCTTAGGGACAGGTGGGGGAGCCTCTGACTTTCTGGGGCCCCAATTAAATCCTGAGACTCCCCAGCCTCCAGTTTCTTGTAAGCTGCGGCCACACTGAGGTTTGCCAGAAGCTTAAATGAGCATTTCTTCTTCCTCCTCTAGTTGCCTAGAAAATGTTCCAAGTAGGGCGCCTGGGTGGCTCAGTCGTTAAGCGTCTGCCTTCGGCTCAGGTCATGATCCCAGGGTCCTGGGGTCGAGTCCCACATCGGGCTCCCTGCTTGGCGGGAAGCCTGCTTCTCCCTCTCCCACTCCCCTGCTTGTGTTCCCTCTCTCGCTGTGTCTCTCTCTGTCAAATAAATAAATAAAATCTTAAAAAAAAAGAAAAAAAGAAAAAAGAAAATGTTCCAAGTAGATGGTTCAAATTAGGTTCCTTCATGTGGTAGCTCCTACCGGCTCCAAGTCGGCCAAGACCCAGGAAAAACTCCCAAATGAGGAGCAGGGCTGCGGGGCATGGGTGGGGCCCAGGAAGCTGGGTGGTCCATGAGCTTTGCCCCTGACAGCATGACTGCCTTGCCAGGAGGGGAACCATAAGGGTACAAAATAATTCCTTGAGCGAGTGGTCATTGGAAGATCACCCTGGCTGCTCAGGGAGCAGGGAGCCAGTCCACAGGGGGAGAAGGAGAGTTCTTTCAGAATGAATCACTGTTGCCCTTGGGAAAGTGAGGCTACTGAAGAAGGGTGGAAGAAAGCCACCTGTCACCTCATTCAGGCTGGCTTCTTACCTATCCCCCAAACCAGCCTCTAGGTGAGATTTCTCCACCTCAGCCCTGTGTGCATTTGGGGCCAGGTCATTCTGGGTTGTGGGGCTGTGCTGGACACTGTGGGATGTTCAGCAGCATCTCAGGGCCTCTACCGATGAGATGCCAGTAGCGTCCCTCCCCAAGTAGCGACAACCAAAAATGTCTCCAGACATTGCCACATGTCACTGGGGAAGCAAATGTGCCCTGAGTCGAGAACCACTCCTCTAGAGCAATGGTTCTCACCCTCAGCTGATTAATTTGTTTGTTTAATACTGATGCTCCAAACCATCCTCAAGCAATTAAATCAGAATATCTGATTTGTAAACCAGAATATCTGGACATGGGACCCAGGCCTCGGAGGGTGTAAACACTCTCCAGGGGATTCTAATGTGCAGCTACTATTGGACACCACTGCTTGGGATAGTTGTCCCTGAAGAGAAGCTGGAGGTTGTATTTGGCAGAGCACTACACCCCCACCAACCTCATTCCCCCTAAGAGAGAATCTGATAAGATGGGACAAATGAATGCCAGAAGTGAGAGAGGAACAGTGGAAGAAAGGATTGACCTGGAGAAAATGGCGCTAGAATAAGGAGAGATCTCGTGTGTTCTGTGTTGCCGGGAGGATGAGATGGAAGGATAGACTTGTAATTGAATGGTTGACTAGGTGAATGGATGGATGGATGAACAACAAACGCTTGAATGAGGGATTGAATAAATCTTGAATGAAAATATTGGATGAATGGGTGGATAGGTGAGTGGATGGATGAATGGATGGCCGGACGGACGGACAGCAGGCATACACGAATGTGTGAAAGTTGGGAATGACCCCCTACAGATGCAACAACAGTAAAGTATGCCCTTCTATTTTACTTTTCCTAGTGACCTGAGCAACAACAGCATTGGCGTGCTGACCAACTACACCTTCAGTAACATGTCTCACCTCTCCACCCTGTGAGTACAGTGGGGTGCTGTGTGTAACAGAGGCCTGGCAGTAAGTGGCGTGTGGCCATCCTCTCTCCCTGCCCCTCAGGCCTGTGTTCTCTGCTCTAGTGATCCTCAGGGCTATGGCTGCCCCCATGTAGAGCAGACCTTAATCACCAGAAGGAAAATAAAGTAGGGCAGAACCCTACTGTCTGGGCAGTTAGAGAGGAACTGACACCTAATTACTTCTGAAGAAGGCCCTCTTTGGAATACCTTCTGTGATCTGTGAATTTTCTTTCCCAGTGGAGGGTTTCCCTACACAACTATATTTTGCTCAGATCCATTTATTTCCCATTAGCTCGGCACGCTGTGAGCACTGACCATTTGACAATAGAGGGAGGGGATGGCAAAGCTGATTAGGGGCCCGCCTGCCGTGGAGCACGAGAGGAAGCTGGGGAAACAAAGCCAGTGAACTTTCTGGAGCGGTGAAAGGTGTTTCTCTTCCCTTTATTGTTGGGATGGTTTTTTGTCAATATCTTAAAATTAGAAAGATAAAGAAACCATTTGCTTTGACTGGTCCGCAGAATGGACAGTACGGCCGTAAGTAGCTGAGACTAGGAATGGCCAAGAGCACACCTGTGTCTTCTTCCGCAGGATCCTGAGCTACAACCAGCTGCGGTGCATCCCTGTCCACGCCTTCGACGGGCTGCGGTCTCTCCGAGTGCTGTGAGTGCCCCAGAGCCCCGATGCCCACTTGTGCTTAACCAAGTCCAGCACGCAGTGCTGAGTGCTCCTATCCGCCCCCACAGCTCCCCAGCCCAGCGCTCCCACGGGCCAGCACAAATCACAAGCCACTCTGAGTTGCTGCTGCTTCTTGTGCACAGCGAGCTTGCTAGCACCTCCCTGGTGAGGATTAGCACGTGCAGTTGTATTCTGCACCCTAGTAGAGCACGGTGTGTGGTTTGTGGCCACCGTGCTGAGGACCACTCCGCTGTTGGTCCCTCTGGCTTCAGAGGGGCAGCGGGAACACTGTGAACCTGTGCAGGGTGTATCAGAGGTCACAAAGTAGAAGCCCAGACGCCTGGTTCAGCTCACAGACAGCTATGAGTTAGCCACTGTGGAGTCAGTTGGCTCACAGAGTATCTTTTCAAAACCACAAAGTTTTAATAAGTTGCTAACAGTTAAACATCAGGAGTCTTCTCATACAAATCCTAATTTCTAATCTCTCTTGGAAAATGGAGAGATGTGGCCATTCCAGGGCTCCCATCTATATTCTTGCAAGGCTGAGCAGACCTGCCCCTTTAGACGGGGTTCTGGAGTCTGCAGCCTCCATACCTGCCCCCCACCTTATCACCACATGACACCTGCCTCGCCCTGTCCTACTCAGGGTAGAGGGCAGCCCACTGAGGCAGGTGAGTTCCTAGCAAAGACAAGATGGCCACAGAGTCTACCTACTTTCCAAGCGTGGCTCTGCCCCTCCCTAGCTGTGTGTCTTCCGTAAAATCCAGGTGGTAATTACCTCACAGGGTTTTATGATGATTAAATGAGATGATGTACAGACAGGCTTACCATAGCTCTGGCCCATGGCAAACACTTTATAAATATTCACTTGCTACTACCGGTATTTGTTATTACCTTACAAGAGCAGGAATGGCATCTCTCTGGGCCACCCCCATCCCTAGGCCCTATTATCTATACTTGATCTTTATGCCTTGTCATCTTGCATATTTTGTTGGCAAAGGAGGATCCTTTGAATGATATTCCCATGACGACAGAAATGCCACTTTTCATGGCCACTATAACCCTTTGCAACAGTGCTGTGAGATTGAGGGGATTGTGCCCATTGTAAAGACGGGAAAACCGAGGTCCAGGTTGTAACTGGCCCCAAACCCAGCAGTCAGGAGGCTGCAGCATCCAGCCTCCTGACTCAGAGCCCTGGGACCCTTCTCAGGACCCAGTAGCAATCAGCAAACAGCACCCAATGAGCCCGTCCATTCCAGAGCCCCCAGGCTGATGTGATTTATTGAAGCCCACAAAACACCAGTGTCAGCAACAACTCCCGCCACGTGTCATCTGCGCTCTTATTAAAAATCAATTCTCTCGGGGCAAAGAAGTACCCGCGCTGACAGTGTGCAATCTGTTATTGTCCGTTATTTATTATCCACCTTCTCGGGGGAATTTGAGAATGGAAACATCAGCAGAACCATTTCCCTGTTTCCAGTTGAACGCAGCGGGAGATGGGCTCCTCTCATTGGCCGGGGCCGGGGCTGGTCCTGCTGCCCCCTCCCACTTCCCACCGTCCCCCCTCAATCCCAACCAATTGTCTCCCATCCTGGTCTTCCAGTTCTCCGCATGGGTTTGCTGCCAGGGGCTGCTGCCAATTTTCATGGGACCCATGTGCCTACGTTTATAATTCGAGTGGTTCCAGTGGGGCAACCCAGCACAGGAAAGGGAGGGAGACTGAGAATGCTTGCCTGTCCATTTGTCTGGTCTCCCAGGGTGGCAGCGAGAACATCACCGGGGTTTCCTGCTCCCCAGGCACCTCGTCTGTCCCATTGCAGACTGCTCTCATTCATTCATTGGGAACACACAGCAACATACCACATGCTTCTGCTTGCGTCTTGAATTAAGAATTAGTAGGCCTATGGCATCATCATTTTAGAATCATGGGATCTCATAGATAATAAGTGGTCTTAGAGGCCCTCGTTGCAACCATATACCTCAGTGGGGAGCAACCATTTTCCGCATAAAGGCCAATTCAGGAAAAATAAAAATGTTTATGGACGACGTTTCTTTTATGGTATTTGTATCCTTTTCCCCAGTAATTGCACAGCTAGGAATTTATGCTAAAGAATAATCCAATATGAGGGAAAGGTTCTCTGCATTAGGATCTTGGTTGCCCTGTTAATTTTTAACCTACATTTTAAATAGTACCTACAAGTGCCACAATTTAAGGAAAAGCATAACACAGGCAGTCAATGAAGGGCAATTATTAAAAGAGGTAAAGATGAAAACGAGGTAGCAGTGTTGGGAAGTGTTTACCACATAGCCTTATGTGGAAAAGTAAACCTAATTGGTATATATGTCACAATTATAACTTGCATACATTTATAACTATAAAGAAGGACTTTGAGGGAACATAGACAAATGAAAAAAAAATCATTGATCGCTAACTGCTAATGTGAAGTTGTTCCTGTCATAAAAGAAGGCAGAGTTAAAGATGAATGAATATAGTAGGATATTCACAATTTAGACGGTTAGGGGGGAAAGGTAGGTTTTTGTGAAATCAGGAGCTGTAATATCTACAATTGCATTTGAGCATTTGTGTTTTCTTTTCTCATTTCCAAAAGGTTTCCTTACTTTGATGAGAATTTCAGACATGACAACAGATCCATGGCTGCTGGCAGTTTGGGGTGGGGGAGAGAATAAGCATCGGGTTTAGCCAAGACAAAGGCCACAAAGTATTCTAGAAAGACCTGACAATTTAAGAGTGAGTGTGTGTGTGCGTGTATGTTGGTGGGTGGATGTGAATACATTCCTGAGACAGGAGAGTTGTCAGGGAACCCTGAGTACAAAACACTGGGTCAAAATTTGCTTTTCCTAGTTTGCTCCTAATCTAAAAATAGCTAAAAGAGAACATTCTCATGGACATTCTAGTTCTTCTTCAGGGATCTGCGTGTTCCCTGATCTTTGCCCCACACTGAGCCACATGCCTTGTGTGCGTGTGTGTGGTCCCAGCTGTCACTCCCCAGCTGCAGGAGGGCCACCTGGAATCAGTTAGCTCTGGGAGGGCTGTTTCAGTGTGTGCTCATGAGGGAGGGAGTGGGATTATCATTCATCATCCTCAATATTTTTAGTCCCTTGTCCCTGGAGGAAGATGGTGCTTGCTATTTATGCAAATGGGGCTGTTCATCCCTGCTCTACCAATTGCATGGGTCCTCCCTACAGCGTCTCTGCAAAGGGCTCCATTGCCCTTTGCTTGATTACCTTTAGAGACCAGGAGCTTGCTCCCTTCCCAGATAACCCCACTCCATTAAATTAATTAATTGATTAATTATTATTTAGAGCAGGGGGAGGGGCACAGGGAAAGAGAGAATCTTTTTTTTTTTTTTTTAAGATTTTATTTATTTATTTGAGAGAGAGAGAATGAGAGACAGAGAGCACGAGAGGGAAGAGGGCAGAGGGAGAAGCAGACCCCCTGCCGAGCAGGGAGCCCAACGTGGGACTCGATCCCGGGACTCCAGGATCATGACCTGAGCCGAAGGCAGTCGCCCAACCAACTGAGCCACCCAGGCGCCCAGAAAGAGAGAATCTTAAGCAAACTCCACACCCAGCGCAGAGCCCGATGCGGGGCTTGATCTCGAGACCCTGAGGTCATGACCTGAGCCGAAATCAAGAGCCAGACGCTTAACTGACTGCGCCACCCAGGCGCGCCAACCCCATTCCATTTTTTTTATGATTTTCTTTATTTGAGAGAGAGAGTGAGAAAGCATGAGCTGGGAGTGAGACAGAGGGAGTGGGAGAAGCAGGCTCCCCAAAGAGCATGGAGCCCAACTCGGGGCTCGATCCCAGCACCCTGAGATCATGACCTGAGCCCAAGGCAGATGCTTAACCGACTGAACCACCAAGGTGCCCCAACCCCACTCCATTTTTGACCGGCTGTTGAACATTAGACAATTCTGGTGAGCCAAAAGGTGATTCCGTATGGCCTCCAAACCCTGGTCCTGGTGTGGCCCTTTGGTGTTACCAAAAAATAAAATTAATTTTGAATTTTAGAAATGGGAAGTGAGTCTCAGAAATTATTCTAGCCTGAGGCTCAGTCGGTTAAGTATCCAACTTCAGCTCAGGTCATGATCTCAGGGTCCTGGGATCGAGCCTCACATCGGGCTCCCACTCAGCAGGGAGTCTAGCAGGGAGTCTGCTTGTCCCTCTGCCCCTCCCCCTCCTCACTCTCTCTCTCTCTCCCCCCTCCTCAAATAAATAAAATATTTTAAAAAAAATAAATTATCTTATCCAAACCTCTCGTTTATAAAGTAAGGAGACAGATTCAGAAAGGCTTAGTGACTTGCCCACATTTATTTATTCATCCTTTTCTAAATACCTACTATGTGTTAAATGCTGTGCTAAACACCAGAGAGGAAAATAATGAAACGCAGTCCCTGTCCTCAGCTCACGGTCTAGAAAAGGAAACAGACAAGTAGATAAGCTCCTGGCACACATGGCGATACCTGGGAGAGAGCCACAGGAATACACGGGAGAGGCACGTGACCCAGTTTTGGCCATCCATGGAAAAGCTTTTTGAGAGGAAAATCGTAATCGCTGCTGACAGTTATCAAACCTTGTCTGTGTACTACACACTGGGCTACGTGCTTTAGTTAATTATCATATCCACTTTTCATATCACCCCTCTGAAGAATGTACCACTATTATCCCCATCCCCCAGACCAGGAAACAGAGGCTCAGCAAGGTTGAGTCACTTTGCCAAAGTGACACAACCAGTAGAGAATAAAGTTGGGATTTGAACCCAAGACCATTTGCTCTCCAAATCACTACTCCCAGGGCTGAGTCTGAGAAGCCAATGGGAGTTACCTATGTGTGAGGGGAGTGGAGACTATTCTAGGCAGGGAGAACATAAATTCCCTAGACAGAGCCCCTGAAGGAAGGGCATGTGCATGGGGACCCTCGAGGAGCAACAGATGTGGGGGGGTGGCTTCTGGGGACAAGAGCAGGAAGCAGTGCTGCAGACGAGCCACAAGCAGGAGCAGAAGCGGGGTGGGAACCCGGGTCCCAGCTCCCAGCCCAGTGCTCTTTCCACCACATTCCATCCTTCCCAGCCAGAGGTTCTCTCTTTTCCTTGCCACCCATTTCAGACTTTCCTTGAGGATTGGAGGGACACGGCCCGGAGAGTCCTCTGATGAGAACTAAAGAGTGTGGTGGAAAGAGACACGGGCCAGAAGGTGATGGGCCCAGGGTCACTCTGCCAAAACCCAGCGTGTCTCTTCTCCAGTCCGGGAATCTGTCCCATGACTTATTACTGCCTCTGCACCGTACAGGCCGCACAGCTTCAGGCTTCCTCTGTGTGGGGGGAACGTTTTGAGAGGACTGGCCCCAAAACACATCGCAGAGCCTCAAGGGGAAGGAGTCATGACGATGGGAGCCATAATTGCAGCCTCACGGGCAGGCCCTGCACGGAGTCCTGCGCCATCTGAACCACTTGCATTGTATCTTTGAATCTTTGCAACTAGCTTAGGAAACAGTATGTTAGATCCCTTCCTGGCTGAAGGAGGAGAAAATCAGTTCAAACCACCGTAAGCAGGAAGAGAATTTATCAGTGCAGGTAACTGAAAAAGTCAGTAGTAGGTACTACGTTCTAGGGCTGGATGCAGGTGCTCCGATGGTACTGTCAGAAATGTGCTTCTTTCTGCTTCTCACAGTGAAACTGTCTCTGTCCTAATAGTTCCAGAGAAAGCCCCAGAAGTGTCTCACATTGGTCCACTTGGGTCACATACTCAGCCTCAAACCACTCTCAGTGACTCTGGGCTGACGCTGACCTGGGCCATAGTTCTGCCCATGAGGCCAAACCAGCTGGACTAAGAGGTGGAGAAGGGTGACTCCTCCATGGAAAAGGGAGGAAGTGTTACCGAAAAGAGATTGATGCCAACCAACCCACACCCCTGAAAAGATACCTACTGCAAGTGGATCCTAAGAATTCCTCCATTTTAGAGATAAGAAAACAGAAGCACAGAAAGTCCGTTGAATCAGATAATCACACAGCCAGCGATGATCAGAATAGGGACTCACACCCAGGCAGTCTGATCCAGGCCTTAACCCCCAGATCACCTGAGAGTGACCCAGCCTGCTCAGAAGAGAAGTCACCCACCCACCCCCATCCACATACAGGATGACGGTCGTCCCTGCCATCTTTCACATGAACCATGAGCACCAGTATCACGTACACATACCGGGAGCACCTGGGGGTCCGGAGACCCGAGGTTCAGGCAACCCAGAACTGACACGAGATTGTTCTGCTTTCGTGTTACTCCAAGTGATGCCCTCATCCGCACCCCAAAATGCCCAAGTTTACCATAACACCTCCGAAGAGTCAGCAGGGAAAAAGGAGTCCGGGCACTTGGAGAAGAGTCATTCTGAGTTCAGAGTTGCAGCCCCCAGGAGGTGTCAGGGAAAGGGGAGGAAAAGCAGGGGGTGGGGCGGTGGATCGTGCTTCCCGGGAGGAAACACTTGTCCCACTTCCCTGGCAACCCTGAGGATGGTGGCTAGACAGGCAAGAGTCTTTCTTTGGGGGGCCAAACCGGGAGGGAGAACCTGCGGTGTAGGCAGATTTCTTTAGCGCTGTCCCAGTAAATTACAGCCCCGTTACTCTGCAGTTGATGGAGACCTCGGCAGCTCAGCTCATAATAAATGGGAGCGTGACTTGCAGGAGTCGCAGCGCCAAAGCTGCCTTTGGGTCATTTGGTGTTTTTTAAATTAGGGCTTCGTGCCTCTCCAGGGGCCCAGGCCTCATTCGGAAATGATTAACAACAGGGCTGGGCACATTTGCCGAACAGCAAGCAACCATGAAGTCATCTAAGCTAATAGCAGGCAGGAGCCGGTGTGATTCATAAATAACCACATGCGTTCGAATCTAAATGATACTGGTAAGTGTTAGGAAGTGCTTCTAGCCCCTTCTTATCCGGGGAGGTGAGAAGCTACTTCCAGCTCTCTTTGGACGACTGATTAGCTTCTTCCTGCTGTCCCAGGGAGAAGGAAAGGGAAGGAGCTTGAGGTGATGAGGGTGACAACCTAGGGCAGCTCAATGTGGCTCGGAGGACCAAGAGCATGAGCATCACCTGGGAGCTGGTTAGAAATGCAGCCTCTCTCGCCCCCCACCCCAGACCCACGGAATCGGAGCCCCTGAGAATGGGTCTCAGAAATCTGCCAGTGTGTTAGCTCTAGCGCTCAGTCTGTCAGACGTCTCTGTTCTGTATTAAGTGTAAGTAAGCCCCTCTCTTTATTTCAGCTCAAAACCCAGGGCAGGCTAACATCAGCTAAAAGGAAAACAAAAGGGCATATTCGTTAGTTACACTTCCCCAGTCAACTCTCATTGCCCTTTGTTGGCTCCATCACAGCACAGGGCACCGCGCACAGTGGTCACTAACGGAGCCTCTGAGTGTCTGCACATTTCACAGGCCAGACCCAAAGTGAGTCATCGGTGTGGGGACTTTTTGTATGCGGTTGATGATTAGTCCTTCAAAGGAGGGTATAATCCATGAATTGTGGATTTACTAGTGTTGTTGCTTGAGCACCGGAGCAGTGTGCATTTGGGTTTTCTCATGGACCTATTCTGCAGGCATTGATTAAAAGTGCAGTATATGCCACCACTCCACAAGTAAGAATGGCTCCCAGCTCCTACACCACAAGGCGGAGAGAGGTATGATTAATACCAAGCAGGTCGCCTGGCCCCTTGGACATGCTGTCAGAAAACGCACTCAGAGGCACGCGAACACCAGATAAAAATACGTCATGGCTCACACCAAACCATTCCCCATGCAGATGAGTGTCCGGCTCCACGGAATCGCCCCAGGACCTGAGAGCCCCCCTCCCTCTATCACCTGAGCTGGGATTAATAACATTTCTCAATCTGCTCAAAATCTCTCTAGGTGAATATGAAGGGAACTAATTTATTGATCTCTACCAGCCATTCTTCAAGACCCTTTCACAACTATGAATAATGGGTGGTTATTTAGCACACAGAAAATGCTTGACTTTTTATGGATTAATGCACCCTCAACCACCTTCTATGACAAATCTGTTTACTTTCATTCCCGCTTTACAATAGGAAACTGAGGCACAGAGAGGTAAATAACTTTGGCCAGAGTCACACAGCTGGTAAGTGGCAGAGTCAGGATTCGAAGGCAAGCAGCCTGGCTCTAAAACTTAGTCTCAGCCACAGTTCTTCACGGCATCTCTCCAGTGCCTCCAGACATCCCTCTCCATGTTTCAGGTGCAAAAACCGAGGCTCAGAAGAGCGAAGTTAACGTACCCAGTGTTCCACAGCTAAAAAGGACTGGTTTCTCATTCCATCCCAGGCCTGTCAGATTCAGAACTCCATCCTCTTCTTTCCCAAACCCTCTACCCCCAACATCCACACTGCTGAGCTGGGCATGGAAATAGGCAGGCACCTGCCTCAGAGGAGGAGGCACCTCCTGCTAGGAGCAGTGGGGCTCTGAGCACAAATGAGGGGCGTTGGGGCCAGCCTGGGACCCCAAGAGCTTGCTGAGCTCAGAACCATAACTGGGGGTTAACCTCCGCCCTGTGCTTCCACTTTCAGGACCCTCCACGGCAATGACATTTCCAGCGTTCCCGAAGGCTCCTTCAGCGACCTGACATCTCTTTCCCATCTGTAAGTAGCCATAGTTCTCCTTGGTGTGGATCCACTCAATATCGTGATCGTGCCAGGGATCATGCCATCCCTGTTCCCATTTCAGTATATGTTCTTTCCATACGCATAGAGCACGTTCTATAAAAACATACCCACATGGTGCACCTCGTGTGTTCTCTGCTTCAGATGCCTTAAGAGGCGTCATCAATTATGTAAACAATGTAAATGTTTAATAAGAACTGACATAAAACTCTTACTATGTGATAAACACTTTAGATGAATTATCTCATTTACTTCTTACAGCAATAAAGCATTTTTATCCCCTTATTATACACAGCGAAACTTAAACTGAGAAGAACTAAAGACTTTGTCCAAGGGCTGCACAGCGAGTAAGCAGCAGAACTTTGGTTCAAATCCAGGTTCACCTTGACTCTAAAGCACATACTTGCTACCACTCTGCATGAGGTATTCCCTCCCCATTTTACGCTGGGGAAACCAAGGTCTGTACGTATTAGCTGTTACCTACCTCTGCCGGTGACCATTTTTGAGTCTGTATACCGACTCTACGCATATTTAATTGTTTTCATATCGCATGCATATACTGTGATACTGATACATTATGTATGCACCTTATAAAACATTTAAGAAATAGAAATGCTAAAGGATATGATTTTTAAAATAAGCCAAAGTTCTTGTATTTTCTGTCTGGACACCCCTGTGCAGAGGTCTGCACCAGCCTGTGCCATCCCCCGTCCTGTGCATTTTTAAGCTGACTGGTGTAGTCAGCTTCTACCCCCTTAGGTCCTGTGGCTGGTCTAAGAATTAGATGGACATAAGACAGAGCAACCGGAGAAAAGCATACAAATGTATTGGGTATTTTTATGTGTACATGGGAGTCTTCAAATGGAAAATGAAGACCTGAAGAAGCCAGTGGGCCCAAAAATTTATATATCTTTTTATACATGGAATGAGAAATTGTGGGGATGGGACAAGACAAAGGGCCTTGGACTGGGGCAGTCCGTTGTGGGGCAGTGGCTAGGAAATACGCGGAGGGACTGTTGGAAGATCAGGTTTGTTTGTACGGGTCCATTTTGGCATTGACTCCCAGTGTCTAGTGTTAAGAATCTTCTCATTATGGTTCAGGGAAGGTATCTTTCTCACGGGAAACTTTATGACTTGCTTTTAGGTAGAAAGAGGGAGTTCAGAGAGCCCCTCCTGCATCTGCCATTTCTCTGGTACCTTTAGCTCAAAATCATCAATATGCCAACACAGCATATCTAGGGGTGTCATGCTCTGAGCCCTTTCCATGGTCGGAAGCTTCTCCCTAGGTTACCGTGTATCAACACCTTCTCTGCAGAGCACATCCTTCGATGGCCCCTTCAGTAGGGCAAAAGAGTCAGATAGTCAGATGGCCAAAGGTTCCAAAGCATCCTGGAAGGGCTAGGATTGGGGTTGAGTTGAGGACTGAATCTTAGCAGGGTAGGTGCGAGCAAAACCTCGGAGGTAGGAGGGCCTTAGGTGGGGTGGAAACATCTGGAGGGATTGGAAGTACTATCTGGAGTCTGGTGGAAACTAACCCGGTGGAAACTACTTCTCCATTGGGCCTTCAGTCAGACACCCCTAATCTAGCCAGAGTCTGAAGATTCTATTTTTCCATGAAGCCTCTGGGCCAAGCTGAGCAGGGGGCCCTGACTTCCTGCTCTGCCTTCTAGGGCGCTGGGAACCAATCCACTCCACTGTGACTGCAGTCTGCGCTGGCTGTCGGAGTGGGTGAAGGCGGGGTACAAGGAGCCTGGCATCGCCCGCTGCAGTAGCCCCGAGCCCATGGCCGACAGACTCCTGCTCACCACCCCCACCCACCGATTCCAGTGCAAAGGTACCTGCTGACCCTGCCCTGTGCTTCCAGGGGTCTGCTCTGTCTCCGACAGCCCGTCGGAGCTGGGCATCTCAACAGATGTGACATCTGCAACCATCGCCCCATCTCTTCCGTGGGCCACACGGAGAGACTCAGATGCTTTGTCTTCTCTCCTCAAAGTCCCTCTGCTGGCATCTCTAATGTGTTCCTCCCTGACTTCTTTCTCTACATAGTTTTGCATAGAGAAAATTCTTTAGCCTGTGTTTCTTTACCCAACATTCTTAAAGCATACGCATTTTCCCATTTTTACTACAGCAAGCTTTTGGTACATGAGATTTTAATCGACTACATCATTATGATAAACAAACTGCTACTGCGTTCTTCTGTGCTGGGCATGGTGTTAAGCACTTTTTTGTGTGTTACTTCATTTAATTCTCACTTTCCAAGTATTAATTTAATTCCCCGACACTCTCAGCAGACTTCAGTATTACCCTTATTTTTAAAAACAAGAAAGCTGAGGCTTACCAAGGTTAAGTGACTTCTCAAGACTTCTCTTAGGAGGCTCCCAGGTCTTTCTGATTCCAGAGTATACTCTTGCCCACCAGGCTATCATATTCGGCCATAACTTCTTTAACCAGTTCCTGGTTCTGAACCTTTAGTATTCACTGGGTATTTCCAATTGTTTTCTACCACTGATGCATAAAAGTTCTTTCTCTATTTAAAATTATATACTTAGGGGCACCTGGGTGGCTCAGTGGGTTCAGTGTCCAACTCTTGATTTCGGCTCAGGGTCGTGAGATCGAGCCCTGCCTCGGGATCCGCACTCCGCACAGAGTCTGCTTGGGATTCTTTCCCTCTCCCTCTGCCCCTCCCCGCCCTTTCTCCCTACTCTAAAAAAATAAAATTATATCCTCAGATAAGATTCAGAGAAGAGAAACTACTGAGGCAAAGTATGTGATCATCTTTAAGGTCTTCACACATATTGCCAACTGGTTTCCAAAAAGGGTTGTAAACCACTTTATGCCCCCAATAGCACCGTTTGAGCGCATTTTTCATCAGACTTTTGCATTATTTTATCTCATATCATCTCATTGCTAATTAGAAAGGTTTAAAAAAAAATTATATCTATTTTGTCTTTTCTTTGATAACTGATTTTTTTTTCAAAAATGTACTTTCAATTTGTATTATGTATTTGTCTGTTAATGTCCTTTGCTCATCTCTTAGAGCCTTGAGTTTGATTTACATACATAGTTTGATTACCCTATAAACTTCGTGTGTCTCACAGTTTTGCTTAAAGCAGGAAAACATTCCACTGGTTTTAAGCTAATTTTTCATTTTCTTCCTCCTGCTTCCAAAACATCTGACTTGATTGATGCTAAAGAGGCCCAGCTCACTCTAAAATAGTGGTTCTCAATCTTAGCTGTACATTTTGGAATCACTTGAGGAGCTTTTTACTGGTGCCTGGGCCCCACACTCTAGGTTTTAGATTAAATCAGTGTGGGGTACAGCCTGGGTGTGCTGGGGATATTTAAAAGCACCTTGGCTGGTTCTACCACGAGGTGACCAACTCATCCCGGTTTGGCTGGGACCTTCTGGCTTTTGCACTGGAAGTTCTGCATCCTGGGAATCCTGGCAAACCAGGACAGATAGTGTCCCTTTTCTAATGTGAAGCTGGGGGTTGAGCCAGCTAGTAGAGACTCTCAATCGGGCCGTTCTTTCTGTTCCCCCTACCCACAAATTGGCAGACTCCCCCTGGGGTTAATCTCAACCCAATCTCCAAAGCTCTGTGCAGGGACCATGACGGCCACCCCTCCAGCCTTTACAGCTGAAGAGAACAGGACACGGTCGGAATTGTCATAGACGCAACATGTGCCTGAGCACAGTTTGCCATCCATCGTTGACCTCACTGCTGTGTCTTTCGGTGTCACTTCTTCCTTCCTCCTGCCAATTCAAGGGTTCCATGAGGAGGAACCTTCCTTTGGCCCAGGCACCATGCCCTCCTTAGCCTAGCCTGAACTATTTCATGGGGAGGGGTGTTTGGGGGCAGAGGAATGGGAGGTCCAAATGGAGGCTGGGCCCAGAGCTCCCAGAACATAAAAAGATACACAAGGGGCTTCTAATTATGGTGCCTTGTTTGTAGATTAGCTCCAAAATCGGATCAGGCTAATTATAGTAATTGATTTGACTGCAGAAGTGCTTCTGAATGATGTCCCACTGTGATTTTTTTCCTCACTGGACAACGGCTGCATTAATGGGACTCTAGCTAGACTGGATGGTGCTGGCTGGGGAGGGCCAACTGTCCTGTGTGTGCAGAGATGGAGAGGAGCTGGCGGCTGGCTGAGAATGGGGCCAGAGAGGAGGGGAAGGGAAGAAGCGGTGACCTCGACCTGCTACCAACAATCTGGTTTTGCTGCCCAGGGCCAGTGGACATCAACCTTGTGGCCAAGTGCAACGCCTGCCTCTCCAGCCCGTGCAAGAACAACGGGACTTGCAGCCAGGATCCTGTGGAGCTCTACCGCTGCACCTGCCCCTATGGCTACAAGGTAAGACAGGAAGCCTCATCCCCACCATTCATGGCCCCAGGAGCGGCCCTGTGCCCTGCTGACCCTCCCTTCTCCAAGGGCGGCCTGGAGAACTCCATTTCGCAGGTCACTCCAGAGACGTCTTTGCCAGTAACACTCCTATTCTACTGCTACCCAGTCATGCAAAACACAGAGAACCCCTACAGTCTCGACAGTGACACTCAGAGATAAGGAGGAAATGTAATATTTGTATGGTCCTTGCTAAACATGGGGACACTAAGTCTCAGAGATTTCACATGCTTCCAAGCAGAGGTGTCCGTGGAACTCACTATCCTGGCTTCCCTTCAAGGGCATTTCCAGACCCTCCCCTCCACATCCCCAGCTCCACCCTCGGGGTGGCCAGGGCTGGAAGCGCTGGCTCCAGTTCGAGAAGGATACAGGGATGGCGAATTGAAAAGCCTGGGGGCTGGCTGCCAAGCCAGCACACTGTTGAAAGGCTTGGGTCCGCCCGTAAGGGGATGGAGATGCCATTTTTCCTGGGCATCCTTCCCAGAAATCCAGGCTAATTCCAGAACAACTTTTCCTCCTTTCTTCTCACCCAGCACTATCTAGATCATGTTATCCTGCCTCCCTACTAACATCTATATAGAGTATGGACTACATGGCCAGCAGTCTGCTTAGCATTTTAGCCACCTTTTCTTTTTAAACACGCCCTATGAGGAAGGCTCATTATTTCCCATCTGCAGATGTGGAAACTGCACCTCGGGTTGGTGAAAGGGCTTGACTCAATGTCCCAAAGCTCATAAGCAGTAGGGTTGGGATAGGACCTAGCACTGTATGATTCCAAAGTTCCTGGTTTTTCCCCTGGATAGCCGAGCCCCTCACTGTGTCTCACTGGGGTCAGCAAAGCTGTGGCTGAATCCCCTTCCCCAGGACCTTCCCAGCTTCCCACCTCCCCAGGGTGCCCATCCAAATGGAGTGGGCAAGCCAGGAGTTCCAAGACCACCCCAAAGCCCATCTAACACCCATGCCTAGTGTGTGGCAGACTGGGAGGGAGCTGTCATCGCTGGGTCTCCTGTCCCCTGGAGCATTTGTAAGTATAATGACCAGCTTGAGGGGCAGACTCAACTCTGGGGAACGCACTAGCTGTGCCTCCAGCAGACAGTGTCAGAGTGCCACCTATGGGCCTGGCCGAGGAGAGCCAGAGGAGGCTCTTGGTAGCCAGCCAGCCAGCCAGCCTTGCCCCATCCTATGAGTGCGTATACAGACACTGCAGGGAAGTAGAGAAATTAAGATGACATACTCGGGCCTAGGTCCTCACACTCCCTTGTATTAATTCGGTGGAGGAAACAGGCTGTGGAATTACACAGAGGGCAAGTGTGAACTCCAGCTTTGCTGTGTGGTGACGGCCAGCGGCCTCACCTCAGCCTTCCATTGACACCCCAGGGCCCATCTCACAGGTGTGCTGTGACCATCACAGGGACATCGGCAGTGCACCTAGGAGGGTCCTTCAGGGTGCATTCAGTAAGCCAGCACGTTGCTGCCTTTTACTTCCCCCTCACTGGCTGGTTTCACCCGGGGTTCTCAGTCCGTGACACTGAATGGCCGGAGACCATCAGTTGCTCTCCTAGAAAGGAGACATGTACATGACATGCCCAGTTCCATACCTGTATAGTTAGCTTTTTATGCACTGACTGTGTGCCAGACACCCAGCTGGACGTTTGTATTTATTCCCTCCTCTAAGTTTTATAATCGCCTTTGAGGTGGACGGTTTCGTCCCTCTTTGAAAGATTAAGACCACTTCACATTCTGAGTCTCGCTCCCTTCTCTGTCGAATCAGCCCGAGTCTGAAAGTACTGGAGCTCGGTTTGAAGGCCCAGCTGCTTCCTGCCACACTTCCTGCCACACTTGCGAAACTGGCCTGGCCGTGTGTGTCAGAGCAAAGAGTGCAACCACAGGGCTCTTATGGGGTAATGCCGCTTGTTTGGACTTTGCTCGTGAGAGTCTGAATGTCTTGTGGAAGAATCTGAGCAAGGATTTGGACCTTTAGGAAACTGCTGGGGTCACACAGGTCTGGGGTACAAGGGGGAGGAGGATAGTGGTGGGACGGTACATGATGGTGATGATGGTGATGACTATCACACCACCAGGAATATGAGCGGCCAGCATTTAGTGAGTGCCTACTGCATACCGACAGCATACTAAACAAGGTACAGGCATTATCTCGCATACCCCTCCTCAAAGCCCTAGGAGGCCAGGTCCATTTTCCAGTTTAGGAAACTGGGATAGTAGGTGAGACAGTTGGGATTCAGAGCTCAGAACCAATTGATTCCAGAACCCATGCTCTTGGCCACTGCATTCATGGCCCACTGTCAAGCACCATAAGTCCCTGGCCATTTGGGACCTGTCAGAGTCTCCAGAACAGGGAAAAGTAGGGTGTGCTGGTGGAAGGAACACCAAGCAGGACCCCCGGAGCTTGTCCCTACCTGACTGTATGACCTGGAACAGCTCCTACTCTCCTCCCCACCTCAGGTTCCTTGACCTCAAAATGCAGCAGGTAGAACCAGAGGGGTCCCTTCACTATGGGTTGCATCCTACCCCTGCCCTGTGTTTGTTCCCCCTGCTCTCCCTTCTTCTGGGGTCGGAGCCCACCCGAGCAGTGACTGAAGTAGTAGTTCTGGGTGAGTTGCTAAGTTGACAACAATCAGCAGATACCCACAAAACCATGCTCAACGTTCTGACGCTTACCTAGTTATTTCCCGATATCTCAGTTTTTCCATTGACTATCTGAGTGAACGTGGGAAGCCGCAATATTAACCAAAAAAGCATGGCCCCCCACTGCATAATGTTTAGTGACAGCTGCTGTTCATCTGTAATGCCAGGCCTTTGTGAAGCAATTTAAGCACATCACACTCTCTTTTATCCTCTGAAATAAGTTTTGTTATCCTCTTTTGGTAGTTGTAGAAACTGGGGTTCAAAAGGATCAGATAACTTACCCAAGCTCCCACACCTAGGAAGCACGTGAGCTAAACCCAGAGCCCGCCTCTCCCTTGCAGGAAAGTCTATCCACTCAGCCGCCCACGAGTAACTAATTCCATCTGAGCCTCACGTCCCCTCCCCCACCTGCACATGGAGGCAGAGCTCCTACAAGGATTGATAGGGTCATGTATGCACTTGGCCTGCCTCAGAGCCAGGATCCAGTAGACACTTCACAGAGAGAACTGGTTTACAGCTATTCTAACACTGGCGGAGATAAAATGTATGTTTGGGCTCATTCTGTTTCAGCCATTTAGCTTCATGTGCCTCTGTTCAATGTCCCAACACAGCGCTCCTCACACTGTAATGTGTACTCCACCTGGACATCTTATTAAATGCAGGTTCTGACCCATTAGATCTGAGGTCAGGCCCAAGTTTGTGCATTTTGACCAAGATCTCAGGGAATGCCATTGCTTCTAGCCCAAGGACCGTAGTTTGAGTAGCAAGGTCCTGGAGCAGCCCTCCTGGCCCCATCTCAGAGAGAGGGTTCCAATGGGGATAGCTACTCCCAAACTCCTTTAAAAGAAGCCAGAAGCCCCAGCCATGATGTCTGTTCTCTCTCTCTCTCTCTCTCTCTCTCTCACACACACACACACACACACACAGCGGTGGGAGACCAAGGAGCATCATAAATCTAGTAGATCTGAGCAAAGTGAGGCTGAAGAGAGTTGAACTGAGCTAATTAGCCAGGCATTGACAATGGTGATTATTTCTCAAGGACATGTAAGTGACAGAAACCTCACCTCCAGGCCCAATTAGCACATCATCAAGAGCTAGGGTCAGCCTCCTGGATTTCTGAGCTCAGCGTAAGGGACTGGAGGAAACATCACCAGCTCCACATCACCCCCATCCCACCCCCAAGGGAAGATCCCACCTGGAGTCCCTGATACTTGAGAGTTCCCCAGAGCAGACAGACTGGCCCAGGCAGGGACTAGGAAGGCCCTGCCTTGACCTTGATCCAGGTTCTCTTGTGCTGCTCCTCACGGCTCATCCATCTAACACACAGTCACACACATACACACACACTCCTGAACAATTCTGTACCAACCAAAGGCCTGAAAAAGTCTTTGGATCACCCCCCTCCAGCCCTGCCTCAGACCCCTGACGTCATCCCCATCTGAAGAGCTCTTCTTACTTCTGAGGCTACCATCACATGCCAGGTGCTTGTTATATACATGTGTGATTTCTAATGGTTCATTCCATTGGGGAGGTTATTATCAGAGAAGTCCCCGGCGCTGGCTTCCCATTGCCTGGGTGTCCGGCTGCAGATGCCGCCCCGCCCCACTTGCTGCAGGGCAGTCTGGGACACGTCAGCTCACTCTCCCAGTCTGCCTTTGCGATCTGAAAATGGCAGTAATAACAATCATACCCATCTCACAGGCTTGTTGTGCACATTACATGTGATCGTGAATACAAAACCCTTAGTGTGAGGCCTGGAATGGGAAATGCGCTCAGTAAATTGAGAATGAGTATTGCAGTTTCCACCGCACACAATGACTCTCCGAAAGGGATCCCGCGTCGCTCTGGTTTAGGATAAGCCCAGATCCCACCCAAAACTGCCTTCTCCTTCTCCCCCTCGAGAAACCCCGGTCTGGCCCTTAGCGGTGAGAGCCGTGAGGGCCAGGCGCACGTGGCCGTGCCTCCCGGCTGCTGGGGACTGCGCCTGTGGCTTCAGGGCTGGAGACAGGAGGAGGGTCGGAGGCCCGCTTGGCAGTGACCTCGGGGCCGGGGAGCCCAGCCCCCCTCCGTCACAGGCACTGGCAGCAGCAGAGGTGGGAAGGGCATTTTCTCAGGCAGATGGTGAGCAGGTGGCGTGGTGGTGGGAGGGCTCCCGTGATCACCCCCGCTGGGCACGGGGCCCACCCCAAGCCCACAGCCCAGAAACAAATGCCGCGGATGCCTCCGGAGACCCCGCAGGTCCTCCAGGGGACTGCTTGTCAAGACTTAGATGCAGCGCTGGGGCATCAGTCCCAGAGGAGAAGCTGGAGCCAGAGGGCCAAGCATTGGGCTGCTCCCTAGGACGCAGGGTCTTAATGTCCACAGTGTCTGCCTTGGCCTCCCTCCTCAGTGCCTGGCCCTCACTGTCCTTCTGCCTGGCACGCTCCTCCCCACCTACCGCACAGTTGGCTCCTCCTCAGCTCAAACGTCCCCTTCCGAGGGGCGTGCTCCCGAGGAACGCCCCTCCACCCACAACTGCCTGTCGCAGAGTCCTCAGTGTGGCCTGGAGATTAGAATCAGAACTTTCAATACCAACAACCAGGCCCACTTCCAAACCAATCGAAGATGGGTGTCTGGGGGGTTGTCACTTTACAGGGGCAAGGTCTGCTCTCCACACTTCAGCCCTAGTCTCAAGTTGTGGATTACAAGGAAGCGTCCGTGTGGCTGAGAATACAGTCTTCGGCGAACACATATAGAGTGCCTACTGCATGCTAGATGTGGCATATACTTTAGGTACTTGCTTACGTGAAAGGCTGCATTTAATTCTCCAACAGCTCTGAGAGGTAGGCTGGGAGAGGTTAAAAGGCTTATACAGGTCATGGTCAGCCAACCAGAAAGAGATGAAGCTGGACTGTGAAACCAGGTTTTCCTGTATTCAAAGCCCATGCTCTTGCCCTGCAGTTCAGGATAGAGAACAGGATGTGAATTCTGGGAACTAGTGAAGCTGGGCCCAAACTCCTGAGTTCTCACTCGCTCCAAGGGCCCCCCTTGGCTTCCTCCAAGCCACACAGCAGACTGGTCCCAGGGCTTCCTTGTGCCCATCTGCCCGGCCTCATCCTGGAGGATGCTGGGGGCTCCAAAGGGCGTCCTGGTCCAGGCTGCCATTGACAGCCTCCCTAACCCGGCACGTCTCCCTCTTCTGCTCCTCAGGGCAGAGACTGCACTGTGCCCATCAACACCTGCATCCAGAACCCCTGTCAGCACGGAGGCACCTGCCACCTGAGCGAGAGCCACAAGGATGGGTTCAGGTAACAGCTCACGCGTGGGCCTTTCCTCCCTCCCTCAGAGGGCTTTCTGGGCAGACTCCTGGGGCAGGCTGAAGAAGCATAGCTGCTCACCGGGGGCCTACCTTGTGGCCACACTGTGCCAAGCCCATCGTGTGGATGATCTCAAGGCTCTTCCACCCTATGAGGGAGCTACTGTGATTGCTACGATACAAATAAGAAGGTCGGGGCACCCACAGGAGCAATCCTTTGCCTGCATAACACAGTTAGTAAGCACTGGTACAGGGAATTCGGGGAGGCTGTCTCCAGAGCCAGGAGGGCACCACGGGAGGCCACAGCTGCTGGCAGAGTCAGAGAAGGATGGCATGACGATGCAGAGCCCCACCAGCACGGCAATTCCACCACTCTCCTGTGTGATAAAAACAGTGATAACAGGTGACATTGACTACATGTTCATTATGAGCCAGGCACGAGCTAGTCGTGTAGTATCTCATTTAAACCCTCACAGTGACCCTACCCACTACAGGTTGGGGCTAGCCCCATTTAACAGATGAGGAAACTGAGACACAGAGGTGGATTTGCTCTGGGTCACCTATCCTGACGCTCATTCCTGGGTCTTCCCACCCAACCTTGTTCCTCCTTAAGAGCTCAGGAAGAAAAGAGGATAGAAGCCACTTATGTTTTTCCCATCCCTGTTCTAAAAGCGGGCTTTCAAGGCCTCTGCCAAACCCCAGGCCCCCTTCCTACTTCCTACCCTTCTCAGCTGCTTTCAGATGCCCAGTTTTCCCGGCCCCTGGCCCTGGCAAAAGCAGACCAGTGGGAAGTGGTTCCTTTAGCACCCCTAGTGAGGGAGTGGGTCAGGCAGGAGAGGAGGGGTGCCTGGTGCCAAGCTGTGTGTGGATGTGTTAGAGCTCAGATTGCAAACAACTATTGAAGGCACTCTGGCTGTGTGGTCTGCGAAAGAAATCATGTTCTGGGCTCCCAGTTCTCCTCCCCGGGGAACCCAGCCTACTCCTGTGTCCACCTGCCAAGCCAGTGAAAAGTGAAATTCAAGGCAAGTTTTGTTTTCCTGCCTGAAGTCGGCCAAACCACCCACTCCGACCTTCTCACTGGGAGCAGGGGCGAGGAGAAACCACACAGAAATCTCACGGAGGTGGCGATGTGGCCCCAGCCAGGAAACACACCTCCAGGGTCAGAGCCTGGCTCTGCCCTCCCAGCCAAGGCATGGAGGTCTGCAAGAGGGAGGAGTGCCCCCTGCAGGCGACTGTCTCTCCCCTCTCTGGTTCCCTATGCATTGCACCCCGCCCCCGTCTTTGTGGGTATCTCTCTCCATCTCTGGAGCTGCAGGTGAGCAGAAGGATCCTGTTTCCACCCTCAGTTGCTGAGGGGATTCAAATAAACTGGAAATATTTGTAGAATTTCATTTTCGAGGAAAAGGGCCCAGACCTACAGGATTAGGGAAATGGGGCGGAGGATTAAGGCAATGAGGCCCACATACTGGGGATAGCATAGTTTGTGTGGACCTCCCAAGGAGCAGCAACACTCTCCCTCACTAGGTGAGTACCTGATAGGTTGGCAAAGTGAGGGACACCTGTCAGGGAAGCTCTGCTCCCTTTTTCCGTCCTGTGTCTGTTTGCTAGGACTGCTGTAACAAAGTACCACACAGGGCTGGCTTGGAACAACACAAATGTATTCTCTCACATTTCTAGAAGCCAGAAGTCCAAACTCAAGGTGTCAGCAGGGCCATGCCCACCCTGAAACCTGTAGGGGAAGGGCCCCGTCCTAGCTTCTGCTGGTGCCTGGCGATTTGGGGCCTTCCTTGGCTTGCAGCCGCCCCCACTGTGGTCTCTGTCTTCATCATCACGTGGCATTCACCCTGTGTCTGTCTCCTCGTGCCTGTGTTTTTGTAAGGACGGCAGTCATAATGGACCAGGGGCCCACCCTCCCCCAATATAACTGCATCTTAAGTTACATCTGCAATGACCCTATTTCCAAATAAGGTCACCTCTGAGGTGCTGGGGGTTAACATATCTTTTTGAGGGGACGCAGTTCAACCCATAACACCTCTTGCACGTCAGAATTCTAGAAGTATCACGCGTCTCTTCATCAGATGCTTCTCCAGTCTTGATGCATTATCTGCTCACAAAAAGAGCAAAGACTAGCAGAGCTGGCCAGGCAGGAGACCAAGACGGGAGATGGGACCCATCCTACAACCCCACAGCTAACTGGATGCTCTTGGAGTCTCCTTGACAACCCCCTGGCAAGGTTTCCAGTTTGGGCAGAGGAGACTTTAGTCTCCTTCCCACCTTCTGTCCACTGCATGAGCAACCCGTTCCCTCACCAGCCATCCGTATCCCACTTTCATGCAATTCTACAGCTCTGGGGGCAGCCAGGGTAACTCATTTCAGGAAAATAGGCAACGCTATGGTTTCAGACCTTTGAAAGCCTACCCTCCATCCGATTCTGAGGAAATGGCTTTTCATGAACGCCCAGAGTCCCTCACAGAAAAAAGGAATGCATCATTTTGCTCCACCTCAAGAGCTCAGACTGAAGAACCCCTCTGGCCTTCTGTAGAAAATGTGACACAGTTTTCAGGTTGTAGAGGAAAGGAAGTTAAGTAGGATTCTAGAAATCCACTTCCTATCAGTTTAGTTTTATAGCTAAATCCCAAATCAGAGCAATCTCTAAAACAGAGAAAGGCCTGGAATCCTGGGTCTGAAGCTGGAACAGACATTCATGAATGGGGTGTAGATCCCTGACGGGAGGCTGGGCTGCAGAGGGAGTAACTCCCTGCAGCTCATTTAATCAGATACTCGCCTCCCACCCATGCCCCTTCTCATCTGCTCAGCTTCTCTGTCCCGGCTTAGTTTGCAGGTTGGGCAGAGGATGGCCAGAGGTTGGAGGTTTTTATCCAAGAGATGCAGCACTCCAGAGACAAGTTAAGGGACTGCATCGTGCGATCCAGTGTTTTAAGCCAAGCTCACCGGAGAGCCTCAGCGCTGGCATCCTCCTGCCGCATCCACTTATCCCCCAGAAGCTGGAGGGGTCTCAGAAGTAGGCGTACAGGGGCGCCTGGGTGGCTCAGTCGGTTAAGCGTCTGCCTTCGGCTCAGGTCATGATCCCAGGGTCCTGGGATGGAGACTCACATCGGGCTCCCTGCTCAGTGGGAGGCTCGCTTCTCCCTCTCCCACTCCCCCTGCTTGTGTTCTCTTTCTCGCTGTGTCTCTCTCTGTCAAATAAATAAATAAAATCTTTAAAATAAAATAAAATTTAAAAAAAGAAGTAGGAGTACATACAGGGAACAATGGCATCCCTGAGAAAGAGTAAGGAGGCCAGGTATCCAGAACTGAAGGCAGCTAACATGTTCTGAGCATTTTCTATGTGCCAGATCCCCTCCTGAGCCTTTTACTTGTTTTTTTTTAATAAAGATTTTATTTATTTATTTGACAGAGAGAGACACAGCGAGAAAGAGAACACAAGCAGGGGGAGTGGGAGAGGGAGAAGCGGGCCTCCCACTGAGCAGGGAGCCCGATGTGAGTCTCCATCCCAGGACCCTGGGATCATGACCTGAGCCGAAGGCAGACGCTTAATGACTGAGCCACCCAGGCGCCCCTGAGCCTTTTACTTGTATCATCTCCTTACTCCCCACAACCACCACAGTGGGGAAGTAATACTCCCCCAGTCACTAGATGTGGAAACTGAGACACAGAATTTAATTCATTTGCCTAAGATCTGATAGCCAGGGAGCAGCAGACCCAGAATTCATTCCCCATACTCGGCTGCAGATCCTGATCTTGGCCACCATGTCCTATTCGGGCTCAAGGTAGAAAGCCTGCCCTTGAGTAGAAAGTCACTCAAAGGGGGATGTTTGTTACGCTGTTTGTCTCTGTCTATAAACCACTACCCACAGAGGAGCCAAAGGAAGACAGCTGGAGGCATTTAAGCTCTCTCCAGGAAACCACTTCCAGCTGGGGGAATGGTGCGGGAGCAGGCAGCCATCCAGGGCCGGGGGAGATGGGAGTATTGCCCGGAGACAGCGGGCGAGATGAAATGACCTCCCAGGTCCCTAAGGGTCCTCCTGCACTGGCCCCCAAGGCTTCACGTGCACATGGTGCTGCCTCGGACCTCCATCCGGAGAGAAACCTGACTAATTACATGCCCCCCCAACCTTCTTTTCTGCCACTCCAACCCCACCCCACTCCCTGGCCCCTGGCTGCCCTCCTCCCCACCTTACACGGTCTCCCCAAAGCTGCTCCTGCCCTCTGGGCTTTGAGGGTCAGCGGTGTGAAATCAACCCAGATGACTGTGAGGACAACGACTGTGAGAACAATGCCACCTGTGTGGACGGGATCAACAACTACGTGTGCGTCTGCCCTCCTAACTACACGGGTAAGGTCCCCTGGCATCTGTGCACGGTGCTGGGCCAGCTATCATGCGCTAAAGATTACTCTTTTCTGAGCTTCTTTCAGGGCCCCCGCCCTCTCCCCCTGTGGACAGACGTGAATCCCCCAAACCCGGTGCTGTGCCAGGAGGGGTTTCCCAGAGGCCTCTCTGCTTGTCAGCCCCTCCTAATCCCCCCCTGCACATCACTAGCTCCTCCTGGCTTTGAAACAGGTTCCCAGGGCACTCGCAGCTGTCTGCTCCGCTAGCTGATGGCCATCCCCTTCTTTGGGAACCCCAGAGACCCAGTGGTGGTTGAGGCCAGTGAGAGGTGTTTGCATTACATTTCTGCTTTGTTCAGGTCTAGTCTGCTTTCTCTGGAACTTTACACTTTCTCGACACTCTGCTAGTTGCTGAGGATACAAAAATGACCAAGACAAAGTTCCCTCTCCTAAGAAGCTCATCGTCAAGTAGAGAGAGACAGTATTCAGTAGAAAGAGAATATAACACCTGTAAGCCCCAGGGGGTCATGGGATCACAGAGGAAGAACCTAACCCAGCCAGAGAATCAAGGAAGGCTCCCCACAGGTTATTCCTCGGGATAATCATCCTACCTACCCACCCCCAAAACACAGCACCTTTATTTCCTAAATTAACAGCCCCTGATGAGAATAGTTAAATAGACTAGATGATGAAGCAAAATGCCACCCAGTGGTATGAGCACAGCCTCCCTTGTTATATAGGATCAACCCGAAGTGGCATATCCCAGAATGGAATTCCATAAATTCCGTGAGTTCTTTGAGGAAAAGCCTCCAGGAGCAAAAAGTTGGAGCAGCACTGTATGTAATAATACCTCCCTTCCGCATGATACAAAGCAGCCTATTAGAGGTTCTGACAATTCTTGCTTGAAAGAATGCTATTTAACTTTGTTTAACCCAGCAAGTCCCAAATTTATTTGAAGTCAGAACTTCCCTCCTACCCTACCCCAGCACTCCTTCCCAATGCAGACTTTGTGTGTTGCAAGAAACACATTTTAGGAAATAGCAACCTAAGGCAAGGATGAAAACAAGGACCAGGCACCCCAGGGACTGCTATACTCTACCCTATTGGCACCTGGCTTGACATCAGGAATGAGGTAGGAGATGGGAATACACAGACGATGATTAGAGGCAGTCCTGAGGCCTATAGAGAAGGAAGCCCAATAGCCCCCATTGTCCCTCAGGACCCTGTGCCTTATGCAGACCCCTGGCCCGATAGCCAGGTATTCCCCAAGCACACTCTTGGGACTGTGGTAGAGTACGCCAAGGCCGAATGAGAAAACCACCTGCTAGTCCTCAGCCTCCCGGAGTCCCAGGGAAGGCTTTATGTTGGAGCAAAGTGCAGGGATGGCCTGATGGTCTACTCCTCTACATCTTCCACCTTCCCAGAGAGGAGTTGTAGCCAAGAGTTAAGTTAGCAAGAGGCAGCACTTACTATGCATCTACTGTATACAGACCACTGAATTAGCTACTAGGGATACCAAAAAGTCTACCAAAAAGTCTAAAAGTAGGCTCTCAAGGGGCATCTGGTCTACCTAGATGAGAGGAGTTGTCATATAGGGTTAAATCGTTGGCCCAGAAAAATCTGCTCAGTACCAGAAGAGGGACAGTAAAAATCCCAGCAGTTAAAAAAAGAAGGCAAAAGGACTCAAAATAGGCTTTGGGGCAAAGGAAGGGCATGAACTGAATTTATGATAGGCAAATGGGCAGTGGAACGGGGGCTGAGGAGACACTGAGGTGGCTTCCTGCCCCAGTTGAATAGCATGGCCTGTGTCTGCAGTTAACTGAAGTGCATCTCTACCTGCGGATGGGATGTCATGGTTTTCTCTGTCCCAGAAAATGCTAGTCCCACACAGAAGCTTGTCTGCCTCTCTGGGCCTCTCCAGGAAGTGAGGAAGAGGAAACGGCTTATAAAGAACACAGTGCCCTCTGTGGTCTTGAGTGGCTGGCAAAATGAGGATAGGGTAGGGGTCAGCTTGGCCCTTTCACAGCACAGAACAGACTCTGGGGCTGCTTTTGTCATCCATTTCCTCCCCAGCCACCCTCAGGACCTTCCTCTGCCCTGTCCCAGCAGCCTTCTCTGTCCATGTTCCCACCCCCACCTCTGAGAGGAATTCCATGGGTGAAGTTTTCCTCTCTTAGATCACTCTCCACCTGGCTTGACCACGTGGAATTTAAGGGAACCCAAAGCTCAGGGGTGCTTCTGCCACTGCCCTCCCCCCTGCTGTCCTGTCTCACTCAGCTCCACATTCCCAGAATACATCTCAGATGGTGTGAGCCTTGGGAGCTTATTATGGAAGTGCCATCCCTGGGTATTTATGACCCATTAGGCATTCGTTGGCACGATGAATTTCAAAGGGAGTGTATTCAGAGACCTAAACTCCAAAATTCCTTTCATAGTTTCTTCTCTGAGAAAATCCAGGGGGCTTACTTATCGACAGCAGGTGGACTATGCTAAGCCATGTCTGCTCTTCCAGGAAGCCTCTGGGTTTCCACGGAGTTTACGTCTGTGGTCACACATCTCTCTGTTACAGTCACCTACTGATTTGTAGATCTGCCCCCCTAGGCCATGGGGAGGACAAGACCGGGTCACTGTTGTGTCCCTAGTACCTGTCACGGTATCTACCACACAAGGATGTGGAATGAAAAAAAACAATTAAGCACAGCCCGAGGTCAGGGGCTAGCGTCCTATGGTTTCAGCTGCAGCAGCCCCTGAACAATCAAGTGAAACAACCAAAGGTTGGTGCTAGGACAGTGTCCAGGGGAAATGCTAGAGTCTTCCCAGTGCCACTGCTAGGGAGACCGAGGCAGAGGTACAGGAGAAAGGATACGCCGAGAGAGTGAGTGCAGGATGCCTGAGATCCATGACCTCCTGGATGACAGGGCTCGATGGATCTGACCTGCTAGCCAGGGTCTCCCGGGCACCTGACCTTTCTACCCACCCCCACAGGTGAGCTGTGCGACGAGGTGATTGACCACTGCCTGCCCGGGATGAACCTCTGTCAGCATGAGGCCAAGTGCATCTCCCTGGACAAAGGATTCAGGTGAGGCTTGGCTTTGGGTCCCCAGCAGCATAGGGTCCTGAGGTCTCTGCCTCCAGTGGGGCCCTCTCCATTCTCTCCCTCTCCCGATCTCTCTCTGCCTGTTACTTGTTCATTACCATGTGCTCCTCTGTGTCTCTGACTGATCATGGTCTAATTCTTTCAGTCTCTTCGTTTCCCTATGCATGTGCCTCTGTCTCTGTCCCTTTGTGGTTCTCTCTCTTTGTAAGTCTGTCCCTTTCTCTCTGTGTGTCTATAGACACACAGACAGATGAAGATAAAGATATCCTCTCTTTTTCTTACCCCTCTCCTTTCCCTCCTGCTCCCCCTCCTTCCTCTCTCCCCACCAGAGCTAGTATTTCCAGAGCTAGTATAGTAGAACAATCCCACTGAAGAAACTGAGTCTGAAGGGTATTTGGTCACCTTCCTTGTGTGCATCCTTCACAGCGTTCTGCCCTCTGTGGCTCCAGCGAGTTTGCCAGCTTATGCACCTGTGTATGTTGGGGGGCCAGGGAGGGGAGAGGGAGCACTGACTGGGTTCAGCAGCCATGGCCACTGATGGAGCTGTCTCCTTGGTGAGCAGCAGAGCCCACAGGAGCTCAGGGAGCACAGGAGCAATTCTAAGGGTGGAAGGAGAGTCTGCCTCAGGAGAAAGCACCAGTTCCAGAGCCTGAGAATCAAATGACACCCCCTGGGAAATCACTCCCGGGCTCTGTCCCTACTTCCTCCCCCACCCCTCCTTCATGAAAACATGTACCATTGCCTCTTCTGGAGAAAACCCTGAGATCCTTGAGTCTGGGGTCGTCTGACATCAGTAGGGACATCCCAGAACCCTAGGGCCAAGAATAGTCTCCCCTAAACACTCTCCCAAAGCTGCCTTGCACACACAGTTGTCTCCCCTTGTCCCCAACAGGCTCTGTCTAACACTGAAGGGGGGGGTGGGAGCCTCTAGCACCAGAGAATCTGGGGGAGCATGCAGGCCAGAGCAGCTAGGGGCACCCCAGATGAGCCTTCAGCAAAGGTATCTGAAGTGACTCCACAGAGTCACCCCTAAAGATGAGGCATGTGGGTCTGGAGCTCCATGCCTATGCTGACAAGTCTTTAAAAAGAATCCTGACCAGACTTTCATCCAGTAGCATCTCCAGCCTCTGGAGCTCTGGGTCTAGATGGCTCTAGATCTGTCATCAGTTTGAGTCTGTCCAGCTTTCAGTCATAAGGCAGAGAGTTCCCAGACTCGGAGGAGGGTTTTTGAGACTATGATGCTATGCTGCAAAGCTTAGCACTTTGTGGAAACCCAGGATTTTAGAAATCCTGAGGCTAATGACATCATAAAATCACAGAATCTTAGGGACTTAGGAACTGTGGACTCTTTGATTCATAAATCTCCAAGACCTAAGAACTAGAGAACTCTTAATGATCCTAGAATCTAAGAATTATGGGTTCTAGTTGTTGTCCCTTAGTGAGCCGAATCTTCAGTCCTCAAATTCTCACTGTGATAAGTGCTGTGGGTATTGCAAGAGGTTTCTGATTCCCTCCCTCTTGAGGCCCTTTCCATGGACCTGAGGGAGGAAAATTTGACACAAAACAAATGTGTAGAAAGAAGGCATTTCTGGGGCCCTTGATTCTGGCTCTGAGTGTTGATGGGGAGCTGAGGGGAGAGGAGAACCTGCTAAAGCAAAGGGAAGTCCTCACACACGTTAGGAGGTGAGCTGAGATGGGTGGGATTTGAATGAGCTGGGGGGGGATGGTGGCCACCAGCAGGAGAAGGGTCTAGAATAGGTGAAGGTGAGAGAGTGACATGAGCATGTCTTATCTGGTGTTTTCCTTTCCTATTTTGACATCTCAAGCCTAGAGCTTGAGAGCATCACCTACAGCATCACCAGGGAAAATGCTAGAGGCCTGTTAGGGCTTCTGGTTTTGCTGACAGCAAAGGAAGCTTCAGTCCTTCCATGCCCATGCCCTCATTCAAATCTGCCTTATCTGCTCTGCTCCCCTCTCAGAGGTGCCACGTGGGCTCTTAGGTAGTTGAGCTGCTGGAGTGTAAGTAAGGGTGAGGGATGCCTCCCAACCCCCCAACCCCACTTTTCCTACTCCTGGCTTTGGCTTCAACTCAGGGCTGCTCTTTAACTGAAGGAAGAGGCCAAGGGGAGGCAGAGATGCATAAAACAAACCTGAACCCAAAGCAGAGCAGGCTGGACTGACAAGCAGAGTGCTCTGGGGGTGCCTACGAGGGGCAACGGTGGTGACCAGGCATCTGAGCTGTGAAGGATAGTAGAAGATCCATAGCTGGAAAGCAGGTCAGTGGCATTCCTCGAGCTCAGAGGACAATGGCTTGACAGAGCACAGTGAGCATGAGAACTGGTCCAAAGTGGTCCATCCAGGGTATAGGTCTGGGGTTGGGGTGTTAGGGACTTGGGACCAGAGACATAAGCAGGGCCAGAGATCATGATCCTCTGGTACTTGTCCCTAGAAACCTCACTCTACTGTAGCCAAGGCCCCTTGAGTTCTAGGGGAATATAGAATACGGAATAGGAAGAATATGGAATATAGCAGGAAACCAGTCTAGCCTTCAAAATCCTGAGATGATATAGTTATGCACAGTGTATCCTAGCATCTTGAAGAGGTCTACGGGCCAGCTCAATAATGTGAATTTTATTAAAATGCATTTAAATCAAAAACCCCTTCTCCCAGGGCAACATCTCCTGATCTTAACCCTCCTCCCCTTCCCTCCCTTTCCTCTCCTCTCCTCTCCTCTCCTCACCCATATCCCAAGGCAGCCTGCAGGGACAGTAACAAGAGACGTGAAGCCAATGCAACCTTTGCCCAAGTTTGAAAATGCTTATCCTTGAAGATTTCCTTGTATGATGTTCTAATGAGGATTCAACAGAACAGATAAAACTATATAACTATCTGTGATATAAACACATAATCATAATGTACCAATCATAATGTACCAAAACCCAGAAAATAATGAAGCAGACTGCCCGTGAACACTGGGAGTCACAATGACAGAAACACAGATCACGATGATTACCGCGCGGAGGACTTCCTGTGCGTCAGGCGCAGTGGCCTATCTCCCGTCACACTCCGCAGTCTTAGGCTGTAAAACAACTATCCGCTTGCTAGGCGGGGGCTGAGGTGCCACGAGGTGAAGCAAGCCACCTGTGTACTCACACGCAGAAACAGCTGGGGCTGCGAGTCAGTCCAGGCCTGGCTGATTTATTAGCTAAATCCGGAGACTCCTGGGACCAAGGACGTCACTTGGTTCTGCCCCCTTGTTCAGAATCAAAGTCCTATACATAACAAAATCATCTAAGCCTTACACTTTAGAAGAAAGGCAAGGGGAAAACATTTGAGAACATTAGGAAATGCAGGTGATACCCCCAGATGCTTCTCTTCAGCAGATAAAGAAATGGTGCCTAGATCCTTGCTAAGGGAAGCGAGGTGCAGGACCCAGTGGCAGCCACATCCCAGGGGAGCTTGTGGGGAGTGCGGATTCCCAGGCGCCACCCAGACTCCCTGCTCAGAAGCGGCATTTTAACAGGATCCCCTGGGGGCTTTGTTGGAGGAGCACAGGTGTGAAGAGGGCTGTAGTGTTGTCAGGAAGAAGGACGGGAGCATATTCACCTCCAGATCTGCATGCTGTCTGCGAGGGAGCATGGCATCCCCTCGTGGAGACCTCCTCCGCCATCTTGACCCCATGCCTAACAGGCTGGATCTTACCCTGCAAGGACTGAGTGGCGATTGTTGCCTCAGAGAGGCTCATGTGGCTTGAGTTGTTCTGCAGGTACTTCTTAGAATTCAGGAGACACAAAGACAAATGCCTCCAGGGGCCAGCCTTAACACTAACAGGGTATACTGAGCATATGCCCCCACAAGAGGCTTGCCCAATCGGTCTCTTTAAAAACTGGGGTGGAGTGTGGGCTATGACATGAAAGTTTGCACTTTCTGGGGCAGCGATAGATCACATACTTCAAATTTACCCTTCAAATAAGTAAAGGTGAACAGGTCAGATCTTAGCCGATCTCAGTTTCTGAATGCAGGCTCAGTGGATCCTCAGATTCTAGAACTTGTCCTCCTCCGGCGACCCCCCACGCCCCAAGCGTCTTAGCTAGCCATGAATCCACAGCACACACCATGCTCTGCCCACAACCCCAACAATGCCGGGATCCACTTGTGATTCTACTCTATCCACTCCTACAGTGGGAGGAGCAAGGAGAGGGCGCAGGGAGGACCATCCCTTTGTCCTGATGCTTATCAGGCCAGGCTCCTCCGTCCCATGTGTATTCAGAGATCTCGCTTCCCTCTCCACCGTGGCCACCTGTCCCACCTTCCTCCTCTGACCTGCGTAGGCTGTGGTTATCATCTGTACCCCGCCCAGTAGAATTCAGCTGCCGGGCCCAAAGGGGTACGCGGGCTCCTGGCCTGCGGCCGGCAGAAGCGCCCAGAAGTGTTGGTGTTCGCGTGTGCCTGTGTGTGCCTCCGCCCCTGCGAGTAATGCGGTGCCTTCAGGTCTCTTTCTTGCTGGGCTATGCGTGCACCTGGGTGCACCTGGGCCAGCAGGTGGTGGGGGGCTGCAGCACCCACCCTTCTCACTGAGTGCCGCTGCCGGCTCCTAACACAGGAGCCCCCACATGATGCAAGCAGACATCAACCTGCGGGGGGACCCAGAGCCCACGGATGGCTGGTGAAGCCGACCGTGGGCCAGGCTCCGGGGAGCCCTCAAGAAGTGAGAGGGACTTAGGACCATGGGGGCACAGAGAAGACAGGAGGCCCCCTGGAAGCCAGCCTGGCCCACAGAACAGCCTTGCTCTGCTGCGTTCCAGGTGCGAATGTCTCCCCGGCTACGGCGGGAAGCTCTGCGAGGTGGACAACGATGATTGCGTGGCCCACAGCTGCCGCCACGGGGCCCAGTGCATGGATGCGGTCAACGGCTACACGTGCGTCTGCCCCCAGGGCTTCAGGTATGGTGGACGGGGCCCTCAGGATGGGGCCTGAAGGCTGGGGGACTGGTGGGCTAAGGCAGGCAGGGGAGACACCCACTCCTAGGCAGCACCAGCCCCTGGCCTCCTGGGCCTCCTTGGAAGGTCAGCCCTTCCATGTCCAAGAGCAGATGTTGTGAAGCCCATGTGATAGACAGAGAGAAGAGCCATCCAGGGCAACTGGGTGGGAGTTGGACTTAGGATCCAGCTCACATGATGTCAAGCTTGGGCATGATTCCTTCCAACGGAAGATGCTACCATCTCGGAGCTCAGCTTACGAGGTGGGGGTAGTCACACGGTCACCCTGGCAGGGATCTTCTTTTTAGGCTGGGGAACAAAAACATTATTGTGCCTGAATGGTAGGAAAATGGAGGTAAACAGGAGAGCTTGGGGTTAATCACTGGAATCAGTGAAGCCGGAAGAGAAAGAGGAAATGGGAGGCACTGGCCAAGTGGTCAGGAGAGGTCTGTGGGGTATGTGGAAGGAGAGGCTGGGTTCCAGCCCTAGCGCCCACACTGACTGGAAGGGAAAGGTGCAGGGGGCACTGGAGGGGAGGCGGGGACCAGACTGAAGGTGGGGGGTGGGGGTCGGATTGGGGACAGTTCCGGGTACATTAGTACTCGCTGCATGGCATAAACCCAACGATGCAAATGACCCTTGGTCACAGACTCTGAGAAGGAATCACGAAGAAGCCCAGTTTTTCCAAAGCCTGAGACCATCTACGTGAGGCTTATGAAAATTCCTGAGCCCCACCCCAGAGCTACTCAATTAGAATGGGGCGGGGGGAGAGGGGCTAGGAATCTGCACTTTCTTTTAATGTTTTTAAATTGTGGTAAGATATATATAAGGTAAAATTTACCATCTGACCATGTTTAAGTGTATGGCTCTTTGGCCTTAAGTACACCCAACGCCACCATCCATCTCCAGAACTTCTTTAATCTTGCAAAACTGAAACTCTGTACCCATTAAACACTAACTTCCCATTCCCCCTCCCTACGGCCCCTGGTAACCACCATTCTACTTTCTGACCCCATAAACTTGACCACTCTTAAGTACCTCACTAAGTGGAACCATATAGTATTTGCATTTTTGTGACTGCTTTATTTCACTTAGCATAAGGGTCCTCAAGGTTCATCCACCTTGTAACAGGTATCAGAATGTCTTTTTTCAAGGCTGAATAATATTCTATTGTATGCATATACCACATTTTGTTTGTCCATTCGTCTGTGGATGGATGAAAAGCTGTGCTTTTAACAAATTTATCCCAGATGATTCTGATGACACTAAAATGTGGGGACCAGCACTCATCCAACCCCATTATTGTAAAAATGGGGAAGTGGGGGCTTAGAGAAGGAAAAGGGCTTGCCCCCATTGGTGGGAGGGCTGGAACAAGTCCCAGTTCCCATCTTTCTTCCCTCTCTCTGCCAGTGGCTCTTTGGCCCAAATAACTATGACTGTCTCCTCTCACTGTCCTCCTCTCACCCCTCCCCCATCCTCTCTCCCCTCCTCCCAGCGGGCTCCTCTGTGAGCAGCCCCCACCCATGGTCCTGCTTCAGACCAGTCCCTGTGACCAGTACGAGTGCCAGAATGGGGCCCAGTGCATTGTGGTGCAGCAGGAGCCGACCTGTCGCTGCCCCCCGGGCTTCGCCGGCCCGAGGTGCGAGAAGCTCATCACCGTCAACTTTGTGGGCAAAGACTCCTATGTGGAACTAGCCTCTGCCAAGGTCCGGCCCCAGGCCAACATCTCCCTGCAGGTGCGCCTCACTCCAACATGCCCCCAAGCTCCGACTGTTCTGAGAACAGCCGCTGTTACTCGGCCAACTCCTGACTGGCTCTCACTGCAGATGGCAGCCCCCACTCCTGTTCATTTACCTAGAAAATACTCACTCAGATGTTTTATGTCAGGAACTGTGCTGGCCCTGGGGATTCGATGGTGGACAAGACAGACAGCGCCCCTTGTCTAGGGCAAGATGACAAGCAGAGGGCCAGTGCCAACCCTGGGTGTTGTGGGAGCACGTGGGTGGGACAGAGCTCCTCACCTGCTGGGAACAAGGAGGAAGGTTCCCCAGAGGCAGTGATAACTAAACTGAGATCTGAAGGACGAGTAGGAGTTTGCCTGGAGAAGGATAGAAGGGTGAGGGGATGCCGTCTAGCCTGAGAGATCAGCACATACAAAGGCCCAGAGGCACAAACAGGCAGGGCATTTTTCAGGGAATGAAAAACCATTCAGTATGAACCAAATTCTTTTCTAACTAACTTCTTTCAGGCTCCCTACCTGTGGACCTGAGCACATTTATTCCAAAATGCATCTCTGGGTAACCTAAATGCCTTCCTCTCTGTGTCCCACCGACCCAGGGACCCGAATTTTGGGTCCCAGCTAGCCAGAGCAGCACGTATGCCGCACACATCCAGAGGTCCCATCAGACCGTCTGCCCCATTTCCGGGCCTTCAGGCTGCAGCTGTGCTGGGTGGTGAGCGCTGACAGGCTAATCTGAGGATCCCACCCCTGAAGCATGGTGCCCTCTGGGCAGCAGCTTCTGAAACCAGGGCCTCTCGGCCTTGGCACCACATGAGAATCACCTGGAGAACTCCTAAAATTATATTTGCCGGGGCCCCACCCCCCAGAGGTTCATCTGGAGTCGGTTTGGGGTAAAGCCTGGACATGGGTGTTTTTAAAAATTCCCCAGATGACTCTTTAACACAGTGCCTAGTTCATAGTAAACACTGAATGCAGTGGTCATTGTTAGCATTTTGTTCATAATTATTATCATACTTTATACAGAGAGACTGAGGCCCTGACAGGGCCAAGGATTTGGGTGGGATCACATTGTATGCTGGTGGGAGAGGCGATTGGAACTCAAGGCTCCTGACCCCACCCCACCCCCACACACAATAAAATAATATACATGTTATATGTAATAATCTAATATTTATGTACATAAACAAAGTGGCACATAGTGGGTCCTCAGTAAATATTTACTGAATTGAATTACTCGATCAGCATTTGCTGGAGTGTAAGTATATGCCCTCCTGGAAATTCCCAGACTAGACAGGGACATGGGTTCAGATCTAGGGTTCATCCAGAAGATGCCGCCTGCAAGAGGTCTCTGTGGGGAGGTGGGGTTGGGGAGGCTAGGCCTCAGGGGAGCCCTAACCCACCTGCCTCTCTCCAGGTGGCCACGGACAAGGACAACGGCATCCTTCTCTACAAGGGGGACAACGACCCCCTGGCGCTGGAGCTGTACCAGGGCCACGTGAGGCTCGTCTATGACAGTCTGAGCTCCCCACCAACCACGGTGTACAGGTAAGAACCCAGCCCCTCCCGCCTGCCTGCCCCCCCCCGCGCCGAGACAGGATGCCCAGGGCCGCTCTGAAGCCTCTTCTCCCTGCCCCCTGCACACTCGCACACTGTCCCTCGCTCAGAGCTGCGGGGGGAGGGGGAGGGGGAGAGGCGGTGCTGGAGGAAGAGGCAGGAGCTCGTTACCATAAGATAAATGGCCAGCTGGCTACTGTGCGGGAGCGCGTGCGCCAGTGGGGATGAGGCCGCTTAATGAGGTGCTCTTCTCAAAATGTCATCCTAATCTTTTATTAGTTTAAGAAAGAAAACAGGGGGAGATTAGCATGCAACTCAAGGGGAAGAAATCCCAGAGCCCCCAGGGAGCAGGACTATTCCTTAAGTGACTTTCAAACTGTCCTGAAGGATGGTTTTCCCCTAAACTTCAATCTTTCCAACAGTCACCCTGATTTTTACGTAAAACTGTAAAAACACAGTATGTCAGCCATACTGTTACATAGCGGGCTACCTTACATCAGCTTTTAAATCTGCGCACTCTTTACATTTAGCTTCATCTTAAGTAAGATCATCGGTGAAATCACAGATATGCTAGATTTTTTCTTCTACCCCTCAGTAAAATAAATACTAAACTGTTAGTTATATTTTTGTAATAATTATAAAAACCACCAGTAAAATGAGAAATATTTGTGTTACACCTCAAATCACATAAACCTGCCTGTGGCAGGAAAGCCATTTCTTGGGGGGGAAGCACGTCCACGAGAGAGACCCACATCCAGAGGCCAGCCATCCCCTCCGGAAGCAGAAGCACATTTGACTGGGATTGGTGACGGGTAGCAGTTTTCAGACTTTTTTTCCCAGGAACTAAGTCATTTAGTCAATCACAACTTTATATTGAAATCAAAATACTAAATACACGGAAGCAAAACTGTCCCACAGGTCTGAGAGGGAGCAAAGTTTCTTCCCTCACACTTACTCTCATGAAGGCCCCCAAAACAACTCCAACAGCCCAGCTGAAAACCATCGGTTTAAACCAGTGGTTCTCAAAGTGGGGTCCCAGAGCAACAGCCCCAGTCAGGAACTTGTCAGACATGCACGTCTTCAGACCTCACCCCAGGCGTACCGACAGAAGCTCTGGGGTAGGGCCCAGCCATCTGTTTTAAGGAGCCTCCAGGTGATTCAATGCCCAAGTCTGAGAAGTGCCAGCTTACACAGAATGCCCAAGCCTGAGAAGGCCATTTGTGATGGGTTTTGAAGAAAGGGTGGAGTTACATGAGCAGGGAGAACAGGTGGGCAAGGGGGCTGGGAGAAGAGCAATGACAAGCCTAAGGGACAATACAAAGGGGTGGACCAGAACAGAGGTGCACAGCAGACGGTGGGTGGAGGGAACCGGCCAGGTTAGGACAGTTGGGTACAATGGACACCAGGAGAAGGAGCTCACCTCAGGAGCCTCAGAGTTCCCTGGAGTCAAGGCCTCCCAGCATCTGTGTTTCTGGAGCGCTGGTCATGGTCATGGGCCTGTGGTGTCAGACACACCTGAAATCCTGTATTTAAAATGGGTTTGTTTCCAAACAGTCTTCTCGGTGGTAGGACTGTTGGTGTCCCAGTAGGGAGCTCTTTCACGCACTCTGGAAACATCACTTTCCTCCCCTGTGCACTGTGCATAATCGCAGGATGCATTTCAGGGGGTGTTGTTGAGGGCTGGGGGGTGAGAAAGTGCTTGGCAAAATGAGCCTTGATGTGGGCATGTCACAGACAGAAGGGGACAGCCAGGCTTCAAGAGAGGCTGGGCTCTGTCCAGAGCTGGGAGCTGGGAGCCCACACTGACGTTAGCTATTGGGGGGTGGTTCGGTAAAGGGGTGATGTTGTCAGTGAGAATGCTGGAACCCTTTGCTGATGCCTGCCTTGGGATGTGAGAATGAAATGGGAACCTAGGGAATTGCTCTCTCCTCCAGCCCTTGTCAGGGAGCCAGGGGGCTGAGGGTTAGCGCGGAGCCCTGGGGAGACCCCAGGCTCTTTCTCTTACCCATGGGACAAACCCAGTGAAGGATGCCCATGCCTAGGTCCGCATGCCAAGCCTAGCGACAGACCCTTAGTGTCCTGCAGCCCACAGACTAAAGGGCCCGAGGCTCCAGAAATCCTGCATTTAAAATGGGTTTGTTTCGGGGCGCCTGGGTGGCTCAGGCGTTAAGCGTCTGCCTTCGGCTCAGGTCATGATCTCGGGGTCCTGGGATCGAGCCCCGCATTGGGCTCCCTGCTCCGTGGGAAGCCTGCTTCTCCCTCTCCCGCTCCCCCTGCTTGTGTTCCCTCTCTCGCTGT